GCTTCCAGATGGGACTTCCTTGGAGAATGAGGTGTGGCCCTTGTGTGAGCCCACGTACGTGCGTGCGTGCGTGCGTGCATGCGTGTGTGTATGCGTGCGTGCATGCGTGCGTGTATGCTGGAAGCCCTGCTGACTGCCTGGGAGAAGCTGGTTTCTCCAGTGCTGAGCAAGAGGCGAGTGCGGATGGCTGTTGCTGTTGTTTATTTTTTCTGGAAAGGAACACACTGCCCACCCCACCCGACAACTCCCCTCCCCAGCGCCTGTGGGGAAGTCAATAGCAATGGATTAAATAGCGAGGAGAAGGCTAAGAGCACAATTGGAAGAAAGATAAAGATAATTAAAACTAATTCCAACTGTTCCTAGAGAAATCAATTTCATAACTTCAGTCTGTCCCTAAACTTGTTCCTGAGGCTCTGCAGCACTGAGCAGAGGGCAAGCGGTGCGGTGTGTGGTGTGCAGACACAGGTGTGTGTGTGTGTGTGTGCAGGTGCTTGCACATGCATATGCGTATGCATGCTTGTATGTACACATGTGCATGCTTTGTGTAGGTGAGGGGCACACACACGTGTACTAGGCAGCAACTCCTGAGTCTCCGTGGGGCACCAGCTCATGGCTTCACCTTTGACGGTGGGTGGAAGGGGCAAGAGAGTCAGGGTGGCTGGATGGGCTTAGGCCTCCTCTCCTATATCAAGGCCCTGCCTCTTGCTTGTTTTAAAGGCTTCCTGGCTAGTCCAGCTCCCCTTTATACATACGTGGAAACTGAGGCCCAGAGAGTAGAGTCTTGCCATGGCTCACGCAGCAAGTGAGAAGCAGAGTTGGGACTAGAATGCTGGGTTTCCTCTCCTCTAGGACTGCCGTGGCCATTTGGTTGAGGGCAGCCAGGGATGGAGGTGGAGGTAGAGCTGACCTTGTATGGCTGGGAGCTCCCTCGTGAACAGCCCCTAATCCACTTGCTCACTCACCCATTCTTCAGACATAGACTGAGCACCTACTGTAGGTTCTCAGGAGGTGATGTATAAGAAGTGCCCAGCACATGGTTTTCTCTTCTTGTGGGCCCTGGGTTTCCTGGAGGGGATCACCCAGTAAGCAAGGAACCGGGAAATGGTGGTCACACGGCTACCTGGAACCAGGGCATGCAAGAGATGACTTCTCCCAGTGCCTCCTGGGCAAGGTGTCTGGGCATCTCCGTCCTTGGTCCATGCTCCCATGGTGAGTCTGGGAGTGAAAGACCTCCGGAGCTCCAGGTTCAGGCACTAGTTTCTGCAGTGCCCCATCTCACCTCTAGATGGCAGCATCGGCGAGCAGGAGCCCCATAGGAGGTGACGGGAGAGAGCTGGGCTGGCCAAGATTGGTTCTCAGTCCCCTGCTCTCCCCACTGAGAGAGTCATGAGGGGTGGATGGAGGGCGGTGGGGCCGAGGAGGAAATACCTTGGGAATTCCTGGACTGCGGAGGAAGGCTTGTCCCTTCTCTTCTTGAGACAGTCCCTCTGGGAGAGAAAGATTTCCAGCTGTTGGGTCTAGGGATCCGGGCAGGACAGGAAATGACTGCACCCTCTTCTCTCAAAACCCCTTAGAAGTGGGGCCTCCAGGGATATGGCTGAGAGGAGGTCCTTGGTAGCAGGGCGGGGGCCATGCATGGAGGCCAGGGATGTCCAGCAGCCCCCAGCCTGAGATGGGGCCGGGGGAGCATCAGAAGCCCACATCCTCTCTCTGCTCCACCTTTCTTGGTGTCTCCTCCTCTCTCTCCCGTTCCCCAAGAATCGAGGGAGGAGCAGATGGGAACTGTCAGCAGCTCATTATGATTACAGATGAGGAGCTGGAGGTTGCGGGGTGGGGGAAGAAAGTTGGAGGGGGCAGAGCTTTTGGCCAGGCACCCTGTGGAGCCCCAAGAAGAGGGGCTGCAGAAGGCCCTTGTGGGGTCCCCATATCCCTTCTTGCAGTTTCTCCCAACCCCAGGAGAAGCTCAGGAGAGACGCTAGGCTTTCTGGGCAGCTGCGTGTGGCGGTAACCTGGGTGGTGGCCGAGCAGCCGCAGGCCTCCTGGCCTCCCCGAGATGGCTGGGTGGGATTACGTCTCCTCACTCCTGTCATCCCAGCATCTCTCTGAACCTCCCGGGTGGGGTGGGGCTGTAAAGCACCCCAAGATTACAGGGGAGAGGGCCTGAGGGCCATCCTCAGTTTGTGGGTGCTCCCTCAGTTTGAGGGAGCAGTGATAAGTCTAGACCATGGGGCCCTGAGTTGCTTGCTCTGCCCCAGGATGCTGGGATGCAGCTGCTTAGAGATGGAGAACGTTCAAGGATAGATCACTGAGCCCTGATTGCCGGGCCAACCACCGGTGCCTTGGCCACAAAGCAGTAAAGCAGCTGGGCGGTGGGCAGTGCCCAGGGCCAGGACACAGGAGGCCTGAGGATGGACTTGTGTCTGGTCTGCTACTGATTCCTGGTGATCTTCAGCAAGTCACGTTCTCTCAGCTTTAATTTTACTACCTGGCAAATAACAACAATAAAAAAAATAATAATAACAACCACAACATTAAAAGTAATGGCTCCCTTCCATTGGATATTTACACAGGACACAGCATTTTATGTGCATGGTTTTATTAATGCTCACAACCAGTATATGGAGCCTTTGAAGGGGGTGAGTAAGTTGGCCAAGATAACACACCAGGAAGGAAGAACTCCTCCCAAGTCCTTTCCATTGGGTCACCAGCTCTTTCTGTGGTGGGGCTGACACTTCTTTCCTGATGTTTCCCAGGAGGCTTGGGGACGGATGTCATTGTAGGGTTCCAGATTTAGCCAACAAAATACAAGATGCCTCCTTAAATGTGAATATGAAATGACAAACTTTAAAATATAAGTATATTCCATGCCCTATTTGGGACATACCTATATTAAAAGATTATTTGTGGTTTATCTGGCAACCCTGGTCAGTAGAATGCATTGTATTGTGCACCTTACTAACTGCTGGGCCGAGACTCTGGGTGGAAGAGAGCAGAGGTGTGTAGGTCATGCCACGTTTCATTCACTGCTAGGGGTGCCTCTTTGGGTTGTTTCCTCATCTGCAAAACGAAGAAGAAGAACCCTTTCCCCTTCTTTCTGAGGAGGATGGGAGCATCCAGTGCCCAGGGGGATGCGGATGGCTTTGAAGATTCTAGAGAGCTTTGCCAAGACGAGCTCCATCCAGTCTGGTCAGCAGTGGGTGTGTCTGTCCCCGGCTCACTCCCCGTTTCCTGGGCACCCACCACTGAGGTTCCCTGCCCCCGCCCCCAGCTCTAGGAGAAGGCTGTGTCCATGATAGGGCCCAGCCACACTTCACAGGACATCAGTGGTCTCTTAAACCTCTTGGGGAGGTGCTCCAGCCAGGGACGGGCCTGAGAGGCCTGTGTTTGTAGCATAAAGCCGCTGCTGTCCAGCACGGGAAGCCCCTCAGCTCTCAGTCTCACTGTCCTCATCTGTGGTGGGGATCTCCATCTCACAGGTTGTTGGGAGGGTGCAAAGAAATGGCAGAGTGGATGCTCAGGACACGCTGGCTTTGCCCCACCCCCGCTCTGTCTTGTTGCCAGGGACACAGGTCATGTCACAACACCAATCAGCTCACTAAACAGGACGACCTGGCCACCCCCACCATCCCAGTCATCTGCCATGGGTGATGATCGTGTGAAGACCATGGTTCCCAGTGTTCTGGGCTGAGGCTTGTCTGCTGGGGGTAAGTGACACTTGGATGTGTTCCCACCAACAAATGGGGCACAGATACTTTCAGACAGACAGACAGACAGACAGACAGACACACACACACACACACACACACACACACTTACAAAGATAGGAGGCTCCTCTAATTCATCTTCCCTCTACGTTTGCCTGGGAGCTGCCTTTTTCTCTGTGAAACATGTAGCCTGATGTTTACCCCACACGGACCTCGCCCATCAGTGAGGCTTCTCTCTCATATACTTGTCCTTGGGCTTCTGCACCCACTGGCGGAGTTGTAAGCTTACAAAGGGTCAGTTGTCCTTGTTTCCAAATCTGTTTATGCAAGTGGCACTTGTGATTGGAGTTGTGCCATTTATGTAAATAATTAAGTAAATCCAAATATTGTGAATGCACAAAACGTTCTTGTGTCTATAAAACTAAGTCAAAGTCTCTAAGGCAAATTGCTAAAAAAATTGCTGTCAAATTAGATGTGGATAAGCAACAGTAAGGTAAGGCTGGAAACAAAATTGTAAAAATCTAGAAGATTCGGCACTCATGTTGCTTTCCAAGTGTCTTTTAAGTTCATGCTCCACTTTAGAGAAATTGAAATTGGAAATGGAGGGTGACGTGTTCTGGGTTTGGTTTACACAACAAAGAGGACACAGCAGACCCACAGGCAAAGGGAAGACTTTGGTTGTACACTAAAGAAAATTAAAAAGGCAACGACTTATATGCTGAAAGTTGAAATAAAATGTTGGAGTTGGGAAGGTATGTAATTTTTTTAATGGTTTCTCCCAGAACCAACCTTTTTGATTAACCTGCTACCCCAAATTAATGGCTTTTCCTGTACTAAGGGACATGTCTGAATACACTCACTGTCACACACCCTTTTAAGCATATCCATGCACACACACACACACACACACACACACCTACACAAACACACACACAGATACACACACTCAGCCAAACCATGTACTTACACACACAGACATTTGGGTACACGCACTCTCACACCCCAGGCTCCAATGGACACACGAATGCCCACAGATATCTCGTCACAGGCGCACCCACCACCCCTATCAGTAATCCGCACACACAGGCCTGAGCACACACGTGCATGCACACACAAGCTGCACCTTTTTTCTTCTGCAAGAACAGTCAAGGCAATAAGCAGAGGTTGGTTTTTAATCAGAAATTCACACCTTGTTGTTTTTCTACCCTTGGCCCAGCGGGGGGTTGGGGAGGCCGGTGGAGAGGGGAGGAGGGAGGATGAGGCGGGACCGGTGGGAGGAGCCAGGCCTCCAGGCTCGATTTATCTAGCTGGCACCTGGCTGGGCAGACATGGAGCAGGTGAGCTGGGCTCCAGCTGCATTATTGAGTGAGCGCCTTGTTCTGCTTTTATCTAAAATGTAGCCAGGACTGCCCGAGGAGGCAGCCCTCCTGGAGCTTCAGGGGGTACGTGGGGGCTGTGACTCCTGGAAAAACAGGGGCAGTGGGCTCTGTGGGGTTCCAGGGCCTATTCAGCCCAGCCCCCCCCCCCTTGCCAGACTTGAGGATTTCCACTGGGGTTCTCTGGTCTGGGGCTTCCTAAAACTGGTCTCAGCACCTCCTGCATTGCATCTCAGGAGCCAGGCTAAGGAATCTGCATTGTTCAAGTTCCCCAGGGGATTCTTATGAGCAGCAATGTTGCGGAACCCCTAACAGAGAACATCCCACTGCCATAGAAAGACCCCCCTCAGGGAATCCCCAGAAACATATGGTCTCCTGGGTGTCTCCTCTCCTGGGTGTCTGCTCTCTTCAGGACCCTGTGTGACCTTGGCAGGGATGGGGAGGTTTCTAAAACAAGGAATAGAGCGAGGCCTGGAATTCTGGGAGCTGGAAGGAGCCTCATGCACGGGTCCCCTATTTTTATAAAAGAGGTGGCAGAGAACCTGAGGGAAAAGGACTCGCCCAAGGCCACGCAGAGAGTCAATGGTGTTGGCGGGATTTGAACCTGGACCACCTGGCTCCAAAGCTCACATTCTGTGTATGAGTTAGCACAGGCCAGGTTGTGCTGCCATAGCAAACAATCCCAAGCCTCAGTGGCTAACAAAAGTCAACAGAGTTTCTGTTCCTTATAGTCACTCTATTCATCTGGTTGACAGAGCAGCCGCCATCTTGGATTTTGCCAGTTGCTGGGCAGAGGGAAAGAGAGCTTTGGAGGTCGGTTGGCACTTAAATGTTCTGGCCCAGGAGTGACCATGCCTCTAACAGAAGTGGGCAGAACTAGCCTCATGCCTCACTTCCAACAACAGGAAGTGCAATCCTACCTCTTTCCAGGAAGGGGAAAGAATTGGAAGCTGTTAGTGAATCTTGTCTACTCTCTGCTAGTTGTTTGTGACATGGAGCCCAGGACCCTTTCTGTGTCCTTGAAAAGGGCCTTCTAGAGTGCCAGCCTGGGCAGCCCTTCGCCTCCCCTCTTCACCCCAGTCCCAGCCTCTCCAGCTCTGTCTCTGCAACTTCTGGCCTCCCCACCTCTCCCTTCCCTCCCTCATCCTCTCTCAGGCTCACCATCTCCTTCTCCTTATGTTCCAGTCCAGGGGTTTTGGGTTCCAGTCCTGGTTGCCTCTAACCCACTGTACTGGGTGATCCACAGTCCATCCTTTCTCATCCAGTGGGCCTCAGTTTGCCCATCTATACACTGGGACTCTGCCTCTGAATCTTGGCCTCCACTGCCTCTTATGGGAAGTGTTTCTGGAGGCCTCTGCATGTTGAGACAACAGACCCAGGGGAACAGACTTTATTTTTCCTCCTTTCCTATCCCTGTTTTTAGAAGTTCCCACATATGTTGGGTCTGAAGGCAGCCCACGCGTCCTGGGAGCTGAAGGGGCTGCGGCTTCTGCCAGGAAAATCCCTTCTTGGAGGTGGGGAGCTCTCCCCAGAGTGGGGTCAGGCCACGCCTCTTCCCCCACTCCTCTTCCCTTCCGTGGGGCGGGGGCCGTGTTGGCCAGTGCACTGGGCTGTGTCTGGGCAGAGAATTCTGTCAGCTCGTCTCCTTCTCACCTGGAGACAGCCCAAAAAGTGAGCTTGATATCTCAAGGGATTTAGGTGTGATGTTGGGAAGGACTTCCTGGCTAGGACAGTTGCTGGATGGAGGAATGAAGGACAAAAACACCTTCTCTGATATGGATATGATTTTTAATTAGTTACAAAACTTAAACATTTCTCCTATTTTAAAAGTCGTTAATATCACAAAAGTGGTGCATCCTGACTAAAAATAACAAAATACAGAAGTTTGTAGAGCACGTACATCCTACCCCCCACCAGGCCCCTCTCCAGGGGGCAGTCAGCAGTTTAGTGTGTGTTCTTCCAGACCTTTCCCCAGATACATACAAATAAGACCATAAGGTTTTATGATTTTTCTTTATAAAAATGGGATCATGTTTTTGCTTATACATACAGTTCTGTCACCTGCTCATCCACTCTTCAAATGCATATTGAAGCCCTGCTGTGTGTCTGGCCCTGCACTGGGCCCTGGGCTCTTGCACGGACCTCCCTGCCTGGATGCTGTAGTGTGGCTGAGAGGGAGGCCACCCCTGATCCTAGGAGACGCTGGTGTCTCTGGAGGAGAAGGCTGCTCATTCGTGGGACTGGTGGACAGTGGTCTCACCAGGCAGCCTCTGGAGCAGAAAGGGGGTAAAGAGGTTGTGCTGGCCTCATCACAGGGCAGTGAGGTGGTGCTGGTGTCTCCTCAGATGGATAGGCGGTGTGCAGGAAACAGAGTCCAGGCCAGACAGGGTCTGGGGCAGCCAAGATGGTCTCTTCTCAAGCCAGGCAGGATTGAGTCATTTTGTGGACTCACGAAGCCAGCTGTCCTGGAGGTTTCTGAGTTGGGGGTGTGGTGGGGCCACAACATTTACTGAGTGCCCACTATATGCCAGATGTTTTCTTACATGTTAATGAACCCTCTGGGCAGCCTTTGCCCATTCTAGAGTTGTCTGGATTAAATGTCGCCTCCTCCAGGAAGCCTTCCCTGGGGGTTGGCGCGTGAGTGTCTTTCTCTTGCTGCTATTATCCCCTGTACTTTTTCACTCCTTTATGGAACCCCTTCAGGGCAATGGCCTATTTGTAGATTCTGCCCCACCACACTGGACTGTAAACAGCTCCCTGAGGACAAAGACTATTAGTCAGGTTAGAGGCTGTATCCACCATTTTTAGCACAAATGACTGCAGCTTCCTGATGACCCCACACAGACACAAGACTTTGGGTGGGACCTGGGGTAGGAGCTGTCCCTCCCCAAAACTTTCCTTTCCTTTCCTTTCTTTAGAATGGGGACAACTCTCCCTGCCCTCCCCCACTCTTCATCTTGCCCCAACCATCAGATTCTGCATAAATATCTGAGGGTGGGCTCAGAACTTTGCCAGAGAGAGCGGTGAATCTTTGTACGTCCTTGTCACGGCTTGAATACCTCTTTTGATGGGGGAACTCACCACCACTCACAGAGCCCCTTCCTCTCTGCTGAAAAGTCTTTCCTTGAAAGAAGGAAAGGAATTTGCAAATCCCTGAGATTGGGAATCATAGCCAGTCAGCCCGAGATGGACCTGGACACCAGCCAATCAACTCACCATACCCTTTTACAAATTGATTACAGATTGAACTGACTCCAGAGAGGTTAAGTGACTTGCCCAAAGTCACACAGCAGGTGAATAGAGGATTGAAATCCCTGCTCATGATTCCTACTCGAGTGCTTCTTCCCCCGCCCAAGGGTCCTGGTTCTGACCTGTGGGCCTCACCGACCCAGGGAGCTTCCCCTGTCTCAGGGAGTCAATGAACTGAGGCCATGATGTTGGCAGCGTCCCCATCCTGACCATCCCTCCCTGACTGCCTGTGTGTCTGTCCGGTCCCTGGGATACAGCTGACTTGGCCTGGAAAGGCTGCAGTTCACCCTCACCCCCTACCTCGCCTCCTCCTTCCCCAGCTCCTCTCATTTTTCCTCTGAAAGGAAAAAATTAATAGAAAATGTAAGTGAGCAATCTCGCGGACGAGGCGGGTTTTCATTATTTGCGGCTGGGGAAGGCAGGCTGGGGCGCGGATCCCAGTGAAGCATGGATTCTGCCAGGAGCCTCGGGAGATAATTGAGCGGCAGCAGCAGAGGCGGCAGGCACAGGGCGGGCGCGGGCGCGGGAGCTGTATTATCATTAGAATTTACATGACACATTAGCCAGAAGTGGCAGCGTTCATCTTTCTAACCAAATCCCATTTACCAAATGAGCAGCCGACACTTATTTTGTCAGCTGGCTCTGTTCCCCGGGTGCCTTTCTGCTCAGAGCGCTCCGTGTGGGCTCCTGGCCCTTTGGGCCAGGGAAGGAGTGGCCACCAACATTTACTGAGTGCCCACTGCGTGCCAAACATGTTACTCAATCCTCATAATAACCTCTGTGGGCAGGCAGTGTTATTACACCCATTTTCTGGACAGGGAAACTGAGACTTGGGCAGGGAAGGCTATGCTTTAGTTTTGCATTGTTCTGGCAATAATAATAGTAAACTCTGAAGGTAGACTTCCTGGGTTCGAATCTTGGTTGCTCTTGTTCCACTTGCCAGCTCTGTGGCTGTGGGCAAGTTAGTTAACTTCTCTGGGTTCCCCCATCCTCACCTGCAAAATGGTATTTCTAATAGTACCCATATCAGGGCTGTTGTGCAGATTAAATATACCACTGAAAACAAAGTGACTCCCATTGAGTGAGCTCTTGATATCTATTAGTTATTACTATTATTATTTTTATTGCTAGCATATATTGTGCCCCCAGTAGATGCTAGGTGTGTGTTAGGTTCTCATCATTCATGATAACATTTGATCTTCCCAACAGCGCTGTGTATTTTTCTGATGAGAGACCTGAGACTCAGAGAAGTGAATTGGCTTGCCCAGAGTCACCCAGCTCCTGAGTGGTGAAGCTGTTTGCTGGAAACCGGCCTTTTTGAGACCAAAACCTGTGTCTCCCTGGCTGCATCAACTGCTTTCCTGCCCCAAGAGTTTGCTCTCAGGTCAGGATGGTAAGTCCTTGACGAGGATGGTACACTTTGAGCCACTCCTCTCAGCCGCCACTCTCTGACTTGGCCCCACCCCTCTATAGGGGTTGGGTAAGGGTGGGGATGGGCTCAGACCCTGCTGCTTTTGCTCCCAGGAGTGGCTGCTGCTGAGCCCATTATTCATACAGGGTGGTGCTGAGGGCTAATGATGGGGAACCCCTGATTGAGCACCTACTATGCACCCGGCCCTGTGGCGAGACAGAGATGAATGAGGTGCAGCTTCCAATGACAACACAAAGGGTATCACCAACAGAACATGATTAATTGCAGAAGGAACTACACAGACAACAGCCCGGCTAGAGTTTGCAGGCTGGGGGAGTCCTGCTCTGAACAGGGAGCCAGACTCTCAGATGCAGTGATGAAGGGCACGCTCATTCATTGGGCAGATATTTATTGAGCGCCTACTAGGTGCCAGGCACTGTTCTAGGTGCTTGGGGCTATCCCTAGGAATAAGCCAGACAAGGGCTCTGCTGCTATGGGATTTAAAATTCTCAGCAGATGACAAAGCATGACAATATAAAGTCATAATAAGCCAATTTCATTCAGATGGTAAATGTTCTGAAGACAATGAAAAAGGCTGATGGAGCAAAGGCAGGTGTTGATACTGAGGTCAGAGGAGGACTTCCAGAGGAGATGGCCTTTGAACGGAGACCTGCATTAGAAAGAGCCACCCATCCAAGGATCTGCAGGAAGAGTGTTCCAGGCAAACAAAGACAGGGGCTGGGGCTGGGG